GATTAGTTAAGATGAATTTTACCCTTTATCAATGTTAGTTTTGCTTTTGGGTTGTAAACTCTCCGTTGCCCTCAATGTGTAACCAAAGTACCGTAAAACCTTGGATTGCGAGTAATTTGGTCTGCGAGTGTTCTGCAAGACGATAATTTTTTTAAAATAAATATTTATTTGATAAACGAGCGAGGTCTTGCAATACGAGCAGTACGTGTATACGCTTTGTCTGCAGAGCGTCACGTGATCACAACTGATATACGAGTGCTTTGATATACGAGTGCTTTGGATTACAAACACGTTTCCGGAACGAATTATGCTCGCAATCCAAGGTTTTACTGTACTGACAGATTAATTCAAGTTTTGCATCAAAGTAATGATGATTTCTGATTGTACTGCATGGTGAACAAGCAAGGAAAAACCCACTACCAAAGCGACCATGGTTGGAGTGCATCATCCACTGCTCTGATTACACACATAAGCTGGTGTCACAACAAAGTGTTGGAGAACTCTGCTCAGGGCAGCTCAGATACGAAATCATGCACCAGTTTCGGAACTGGCAGAAGACATTCCTGAGGAACAGATTCCAGAAATCTACTACCACAGAAAGTGTCACATCATTTTCTCTATGAAGAAAGTTCCTGATGGCATCCTTGCAAAAGAAAAGCAAAGTGCCAGTCAGTGGCTCTGCTGAAGAGAAATAATCTAAGAGGACGGCTCGACATGCCCCAAGTGCGTCTACTACTTATGACGCAGAGTGCATATTTTGTCAGAAAAGCGACAAATATGCCAAGGGAAAGAACACGAGAGAAGTGCTGGTACAGTGTCGAGAACTGCAAGCTGATGCAAAGATCAGGAGTGCAGCCACGAATAAAACGGACAGCAGAATTCTTACTCAGAATTCTTGCCATTGTGAGTAGAGACCTTGGAGCAGCTGAAGGGCACTACCACAGGTCATGCTATAGACTGTACCCCAAAGAGGAGGTTTCCAAAGAAGAGGTTGCCTAGCAGTGAAGATAATAATGCTGCAGCCCAGTACGAAGCTGCTGTGAATCAGTCATACAATGAGCTGTTCCTCTTCATCAGGATGGAGCGTTTTGGCAATCCTCAAGTGATGACAATGACTGATCTCACTTCTAGACTGGTTTTATCAATGAACTCCCTCAGCATTGTCCGAGTCAAGGATTCAACCAAAAAGCACAGAAGGCGAAAGCCGGAGAGTGCGTTTGCTGGAGCCTTGCACATCTTCCCTGACGGGAAAAGAAAACTCCTCCTCTATCCAGATAACCTGCCCATGAGGGAACTTACCAAATAAAATCAGTCTCTCAAAAGTGGCGGTGCTCAAGATGTCATTAGCCAAAGCAGCCATCAAATTGAGAGAGGACATCAAAAGCACAGGATGTAGTTCTGAAGGCAGATAGAAACCTGTTCAGCCACATGATCCTGAAAGCAGGAAGGTGAATATGAAGGATGTGCTTGCCCACCCACTTGGCCCACTGCCATGGGCACTGGCAAATGCTGATGGGTCCCTACGAAAAACAAACAAGGCTGCACTTGCCAGAGAGCTTGAAAAGAATGCGTCTCCTGCAGAAGACATCCCAACCCCATCTAGTTCCATCATTGATGGGATGAGCCTGGTCCAAACAATGAATGGCAACAACAAAACCTTTGCACAGGTGGCAGTCAGCCTTGACCCAGGTCCTCCACGAGGGGGCACAGAGTGAGAGGATTGATGTTGTTTTTGATGTCTACCGACAGACTTCGTTCAAAAGATGCTGAACGACTGAACCGGGGTGCAGACACCACTCCAGTACAAAAACCTCGCAGGGGGACACCACGTCCAGCAGTGGAGAAGATTCCTGTGCAGTCCCTCCAACAAGACCAGTCTCATCAAGTTCCTGGTGGAAGAGTGGAAACTCCCACGATACAGAGAGATTCTGCATGGTAAGGTGTTGCACATGAAATGTGAGGAAACTTGCTACAAGTTGACAGAAGATGAGTGTGAGGAAGTAGCAGAGCTGCACTACACGCATGAAGAAGCTGACTCACGTCTGCTCCTGCATGCATTGCATGCAGCAAATGTGGGTTCAAAGGCAGTTATCATCACAGCTGAGAAGACTGATGTCATGGTGCTTGTCTTGGCTTCCAGAAGGACATCACCTGTCCCATCTACCAGAAGTGTGGGACACAGAACCGCGCGCGGTTTGTCGATATCACCAAACTAGCAAGGTCACTTGGAGACAGCATCATCTGTGACAGCCTAATTGGCTGACACGCCTTCTTCACAGGCTGCGACACTGTCAGTGCATTCGCCGGTCGAGGGAAGCTGATCGCCCTGAAGATGGTGAGAAAGGACACTTCCTGCCAAGAGACTTTTAGTCGACTGGGGCAGTCATGGAATGTGAGTGATGAGCTGTTCCAGACAATTGAGCAGTTCACCTGCCTCATGTACGTTGCTAACAGCAGCACTGGCGAGGTGAACCAACTGCGCTACCAGCCCTTCTGCACCAAAAGGGGAGAAGTCGAGTCCAGCCAGCTGCCACCATGTAGAGACTGCCTCTTCATGCATGTTCAACGAGCCAACTATCAGGCAGCAATCTGGAGGTGCTGTCTGCAGGCTAACCCTGTGGTGCCAAGCTCTACTTGAGTATGGATGGACAGACGATGATGGCAAGCCGGCCATTTACTGGGTGCGCTACCCCACCTGCACCAGATGTGGTCTTGGAACTGCTCGCATGCAAGTGTCAAGCTGCACGTGCCTGTCAAACGGGCTGACATGCACAGACTGTGCAAGTTAGAGACCTGCAGTCACCAAAAACTGCAGGGTGATCCAGAACCTGACTTTGAACTTGGGGAGTCAGATGACGAGTAGTCTGATGAGTGACACAGGGTGGTGATTCTGATGGTATTACTGTGGTGGTAGTAGTGTACATTGATGCAGTGTGGTGATTCTGGACTTGGTTACCCTTGTTAACACCATCTAAGTACACCCAGAGCTTGATAACAATAATGTAACCTCCTTCACATATACCCATCACTAACAATATATATGGGATTACATGTTTCATTGACTAAGTATATGCGAATGTCAATGTTTATACTATTCAAGTAGTTCCTTACCTCACTGTGGTATTCCTTATCATCCGGTGTTTTCATTGTGTATTTAAACCAATAAATACCAGTTTGTGACCTAACTGGTTTTGGTCTAGGTAGTTTTTCAGTAATAATGCCCATCTCAATGTTCCGTACGCCTGTCATAGGGTATGGGTATAAAAGTCATGGTAACTACAACTAAGTTGCCACTCCGCAAAGGTTATCATATCAGAATATGTCCCACACACGTGAAGGATTACAAAAATCATTAGTAGACGTTCCCACCTCAGTTGGTATCGTTTCTTTTCTATAATGTGCATCAACAGTGACTTGCGCACAAACACGTCAACGTCGACGCCCACGAGCACCTCGTGCCCTCTTTTAGCCGCCCCTCCTGATATGTTCCATTCATTGGCTACCACATTCTGATAAGCTCCTCCCCCCTCTCCTCCCCCTTAACTTGTATTTAAGAGCTTGCATCTTGAATCCCTGCCTCACTTGATGCAGCAAATCTGGCTGTGACGGTCCCACCTGATGACGGAGACTTGTGTTGCCTCCTTCTCTACAGACCTGTTCTCCACCTGAAGACGGCTGCTTGCGTTGTGGCCGAAACGTCGTGAGAATAATTTTATTATGTTTTATTTTTATTCTTTTATTATTTTCCTTCTATGTGACTTTACCGAAAGAACCAAGAAGAAGAAGGTGATTTTATTATTTTATTTTTAAATCCTTTATATTAAGTTCGCTTGCTTGCTTGCTTGCTTACGACGGTCGTTTTTTAACACACTTCCCGTGATCCAATCGAGCTGACATTTTCCACGCAGACTCGTTGTGCGTGACAATTAATTTTCGTGAAAAATTTTTTGCAAAATTTGACACTGTTTAGGGAAATTTTTTTAAATATTTAATTACCAATTGCTTAATGCTGGCAGACAATCATCTGACCCATAGGTGGCAGCCATCTCAAGCCAGAGGACGAGAGGACTCTAGCCGCCACGCATATAAAGGATTTATAGTGAAAAACTTTGTTTTCACGGGTTAATTTTTTATTAATTTCATTTTTTACCTACGTGACTTTACCGAAAGAACTAAGAGTATGAATCCTTGCAGTCACGAAAGCTTCAAATCTAGAACCAATAAGTGACTTGTTTTGGTCTGGGCCCATGGACTAAAGCAAAAAGTCGCTCGCTCAAGTAACGTTGTTTAGCAGCGCTGCTGTAATCTAGACAACGCCTTCCGAGTTGAATGTTCGTTGTTGTTCCCATGCTTGAGGCGCCATCGCCAACAGCCGCCGTGAGTCCCGCGTCCCCGCATCACCACGTCCCCGCGTCCCGTGTGACCGAGTGACCAAGTGCCGAGGATCCCATGAGGATTTTCTGAACACACGAACGACGGCCGCCAGCGTCACCACTGGAAAGTGCCATGTGTGCGGGATCGCTACGGACCATCCGGGTCGCGCCGTGAGCGACGATGGCCCTGGCTACCAACCCGCACTATCTTCCACTATCTCCGCGGGCACACGAGAGTAAACATGCCAAGCCGCGTTACGCAAGACCAGTGGGTCCGGCACACCGCACGCAGATACGCACCGCACACACGTTGGCGACCCACACAAACACTGACACACTGCGCGTGTCTGTTAAACTCCATCGGCTCGGTTGAAACGGCAATCCAACGTGCGACTATGCAAGGTGCAGCCCCTGCAAGTGCCCGCTCACGCCAGCTGCTGGCGGAAGGGCCCTCCACCGGAGGGCACTCTAAAGAGGGTGTTTGGTCTCCTCTTCTACGCTGGCCCGACGTGTTGGAAGATGGAGGTGACAGACCCCCAATTTACCCTGCAGGTCGGGACCCCCCGCGACCCCCCCCTACGACCTGCGGGGACCCCCCACCCAACGACCCACCGGGCCCCCACTCACGTTGTACCTCGTGTGGTGTCGGTGTCGCTGCTCACGTGCGTCCTCGCGATGACGTCACAGGCGCTCGTTCGCCCTCCCTGCGAGAGAGACACACACAGTCAGCCACAAAGACAAAGATCACCCCCCCCCCCATAGCCTTCGCAGACTGATGGGGGCAAGGGCTGTTGGCGAGTAGCACCTGTGATTTTTACACATTGCAACCATGTGCTCATTTGAGGCCGAGTCGACCTTGGGGAGGCCCAGACCTCTTTTCCGATAATCGTCACTGATGTTGGCCATGAGAGGGAATCAAACTCGGGTCACCTGGTTCATAGCGCTGCACTACCGCCCCCCACACGCACTCAGCCACACTCACACGCATCATGGGACCCCCCTTGCCAGTATCAAAATGAGAATAGGTTTGACCCTTTCCGGCAATAAAGCAGTTGTGTTAAGATGTTTAAACACCAAACTGAAACCTTTTGCAAGGAATCCTGTCTGCATTAACCACATGTACTTGTGGTGGACATGCAAACAAACCAAAACCATGCTCTGATAGTATCAGAGCATGATGGTGTTTTAACATCTTAACACAACTGTTTTATTATTGCCAAAAAGGGTAAAACCTATTCTTATACACTCACACGCAGTCAGCCACACTCACACAGTCAGCCAATCAAACAACGGCACCACAAACTCTCACAGCAGCCGCGACATCACAAACCAGGAGCACGCACATTACACGTGTCTTCCCCATGTTCGGATTTATTTGGAGTTGGCAGCGAGTGCCGGCGGCGATGGTGCCGGCGTGGCCGGTGATGTTGCCACCACCAACACTGGCACCATCACCGCCTGCACGCAGAGCGGAACGTCGGACATCGTGCCAAACAATACGCGGTACGCGACCCGTTCACGCAGCGGAGAGCTATGCATGGCACAACCGATTGGGGGTGCTGCAAATCAGACGGAAATTACATTCACCTTTCTTGATATAAAATATTTTTTTAAACTTTTTTTAAAAACACGCTTTAATGAAATGTACTGTCCGAGCTGCCCCTCCCCCTGCCCCCTTCCCCCATCGCCCCTCCTTCCACATCCACCGCCCCTCGGCGTGGCTCCCCGAGGCTTGCCGTGACGTGAGTTGAGCGTGGACAATTAGAGCCGTAAACGTGGAAAATTAGAGCCGTAAAAAGATTTTTTTAAATATATATTTTTAATGTTTAATGATAGAATATAGTATTGTCATCGGTATGACATACCTATACCAAGTTTGCAGTCGATACGACATTGGGAAGACGGTAAAAAGTGAGTTACAAGATTTGAGGATACAACAACAGACAGGGAGTTAAATAAAAGCGTGTAAAATGTTAAAAAAAAATATATTTTATATTTTTGTATGATAGAATATAGTCTTGTCATCAGTATGACACAGCTATTTCAAGTTTGCATTCGATAGCACATTGGGAAGTGGGTAAAATGAGAGTTATAAGATTTTTTTTTGGAGGCTACAACAGACGGAGTGAGTTAAATAAAAGCTTGTAAAAACTTAACCCGTAAAAACTAAGTTTTTCACTATAAATCCTTTATATGCGTGGCGGCTAGAGTCCTCTCGTCCTCTGGCTTGAGATGGCTGCCACCTATGGGTCAGATGATTGTCTGCCAGTATTAAACAATTGGTAATTAAATATTTAATTTGTTTTCCCTAAACAGTGTCAAATTTTGGAAAAAAAAATTCACGAACATTAATTGTCTCGCACAACGAGTCTGTGTGCAAAATGTCAGCTCGATTGGATCACGGGAAGTGGGTTAAAAAACGACCGAAAGATTTGCACGGTCGTAAGCAAGCAAGCACGCAAGCAAGCAAGCGAACTTAATATAAAGGATTTAACAAGTAAACCCGTAAAAACAAAGTTTTCACTATAAATCCTTTATATGCGTGGCGGCTAGAGTCCTCTCGTCCTCTGGCTTGAGATGGCTGCAATCTATGGGTCAGATGATTGTCTGCCAGTATTAAGCAATTGGTAATTAAATATTTAATTTGTTTTCCCTAAACAGTGTCAAATTTTGGAAAAAAAATTCACGAACATTAATTGTCTCGCACAACGAGTCTGTGTGCAAAATGTCAGCTCGATCGGATCACGGGAAGTGCGTTAAAAAACGAGCGAAAGATTTGCACGGTCCTAAGCAAGCAAGCAAGCACGCAAGCAAGCGAAGTTAATATAAAGGATTTAAAAAGGGAGACACTCTCACTCGGAACATCGTGGGGCCCTCGGACCGAAGGACTCGGCTCATCCACGCCGGCATGGGGGTGGTGATGGTGGTGCCAGTTCAGTTCCGTGCATGTGTCAAGACCATTGCCTCGTTTAATAAATAAGCCAGATTTTCTCAAACTCTGGGCAAATTATGCGCTTCAAATCGACGCTGCCGTTCGTGTCGTTAGGACGATTATGAAATGTCGACTGTGAGGTCGCCTAGTATGTGGAACTGCCCACCATGGTATCTGCAGCAGTAACACACAAAGATCTCCCCCCCTAAAGGCTCAACAGACTGTTGGTGCAAGTGCTGTTCACGAGCACCTAAGAAGACCGGCACGGCACACAAGGGGGTGGCCAGCGCCACACACCCGACCACCTGTTTCCCCAAGTGCTCATATCTACACACCGGACTCCCGGTGCTAATTTAAGGCCGAGTCGACCTAGCAGAGGCCCAGGGACGGTTCAAATATTCGCTGCTGTTGTGAGCGGGAATCGAACTCGGGTCGCTGGATTCGTAGAGCAGTTGCCACCGCTTCGCACAGTAAGACACATGCACACGGAGATCCCCAATTGATAAGCAAGCGGTAAAGGGGCAGCTCTGCAACTGCTTTGCTCGTGCCACCGCTGGCCCAAGGGCCTCCGCTATAGATGGGGCATTTGGTCTACTCTTCAGCGCTGACATTGTTGGAAGAGGTGGGAGTTACCCACACTTGATACCACCACACACGACCTGCCACAGACTGCGGTGAACCCATGTATACTGACCAGGGAGGACAGAGGTGGGAGGTTTGTAGAAATTTGCCACCCCCCCCACCCTCGTTTCGACCGACGATCTCTGGATCGCAGGTCCAGCGCGCCCGGTAAACGACGACGACCACACCAGCACCGTGGCGGCTTTAACCGATCGGTGTGCCGAGATTTATTTATTATGACCGCGCGCGTTCGACCCAGGAAAGCCTCGCCGAGTCTCAACATTCTTTGTCAGGACGGTCCCGCGAAAGATGTCGCGGTCGGAGGCGATTCATTTCCCCCGTAGATTCACGACCGGCTAACTTGGGCTGCCGTTTTCCAAACGTAGCAAATTTGGAGCTTGACGTCGGCACACACTGGCCCCGCTCGTGCCAACGGCAAAACCACCAAAGACGGTCGCCGGCATGCGCTGCTTCTGTGGCCGTCTGGAACGCTCCTCTCCTTCCGATATCAGGAAGCCGGTGTGAGCTGTGCACTTTGTAAATCATCATCTAGATTGACAAAATCATTTCCTGAGAACTGGTTTTTGTGTGTTCGTTTGATGTCTTTTCCCCGCACCTACGATTAGTGCAGTTGGCTACGCACGGTGCGAAAGAAGTTCAACATACAACTCAACAAATTCGTCAAAAACACTTGTGTGTGTGGCCTTTAAAAGTAGTGTATCGTAGGTGACATTTCAGGCAATAGCCCTTCTTCACAGCACAGAGGCCAGAGGGGTCAAGTGGCTCAGAGGTTTGGAGTGGCTCTGCGGCGAAGAAGGTTCAGTGCACGAAACGTCAACTATTGTTTGTTTGAAGGCCTACACGCACGCACATACACGCGGCATTGACACGGGTCATAGTTTTTTTATAATTTGAGCTTGTCCACCACTGCCAACACAGAATCAAGAGTCTTTATTTATCTTTACTTGGCTGCATCGGCCGGACGATTTGTCAAAAGAAACCTGCTGCAAATGATGGCACGGGACCATTGAACGGAGACAAGGGGGGGGGGAGTGCCAATCCACAAATCAGTCGCCTAGGATATACAGACACTTGCACACGGGGGGGGTGGGCTGTGCCCCCCACAACTGAGGACACGCTCCTGCTGCAGCTGCATTCATTATAAAAACACGGGGGGGGGGGCACCTCGCCATCAAACATATTTTCGGTATGGAAGCCGCCCAATCAGCCCCCCACCCCATCAGCCCCCCCCCCCACCCCATTAGCCCCCCTCCCACCCATTCAAGACAATTGGTACCCAGGCCACCCCCCAAAACCAGCATCCCCACTCCCACCCCCCCTCCCTCCCCGAAGTTACCAAGCCCACCAAACAGAGCGCTTGCTGTACCCGATATTATTCGTTGTAGCTTTTGTCAGTTTGGTGACGAACCCAGGATGGCACCCAATGCCCCCCACCCTCTCTCTCGTCGTGGTCTCTGTGGAGTTCTCTCTCCTGGCTCCGCCAAAAAAAAAACCCTACGCGGACAGACATCACGCGCATAGGTCAGGCACGTCAGTCCACTGCTGGATGAACGCCTCCTCAAAAAGCTGGGTCTGTCGCGAGGCACATTCGATCAAACTTCACGGTGGTTACTGCAGGTTGGGACACCGATTTATATCCAAAGTAGAAACCCCCCATCTTCTCTTAACGACGATAATTATTGATTCCACTCAACTGGTCATTAAGCGACTCGGTTGTAAAGCGAGTATAGGAAACACGTTCAAGGCTTAATTCGTTCCGATACCATCGAAAGTTGCCCCCTTTATCAACCCAAAATACTTACTTTATATTTACACAATTGATATTATTCAATGCATTCATTAATATTTGCTGTATCTACAACAGCCCGTCGTTAACAGGGGAATGGTTGGAAAGCGAACACACTATGCAGGTACTACAATATACACTACACTATACACTACACTATACACTACACTACAATATACACTACACTATACACTACAATATACACGACTATACACTACACATTGGGCTCTATGGGGGCCCATCGTGAAGCGATTAGTCGTTAACAGGAGTGACCGTGAAGAGGGGTTCTGCTGTATATATTTTTTACATAGACACGTTACATTTTTGCACGGGATTATGATACC